ACACACCGATGTTTGCAATACTCTAACATCTCTCTTGAACACCACATTTTCCTCTCCCATAAACCACCCAATACTTTTAACTACTTACTGAGTTTCACGTGCTATTTGGGTGGGCCCAGCTCTTTAACCATGAGGAGGAAGGGAGTCTCCTTTCTTCATTTTGGAGTAGTGTCTGTCAGATCACTGACCTTCACAATTGACCGGATCCCTACCAGCTACAGGCAGGTGACAAACATCCTCAGTCACACTGTTGCACCCCATTTACAGACAGAGCAAGTGAAGCCCAGAAAGGTTAAGGGAGACCCTGAGCCCGGCAGGTGGGCATCAGCCGGTGCTAGAACCAGCCTGTGACCCTGCAGCCCGGGTTCCCTCCACGTCACAGACCCTGGCTGTGGAGTTGGTGTCATAGGCCACCACACTGTGGCCCAGCATGTGCCTGCTCTGGGAGGGTGCCCCGGGCCTCACAGACACCTCTAGTGAGGGATCTGGTCTGCAGCACCTAGAAGCACCGTCCAAGACTTCTGGGCCACGGACCACCACTTACAGGACACGTCGGCTAAGTAGCCGAGGGCCTGGAGCTCGTCAGGGGAAGTCAGTCCGTGTGCCCCTCGGATCCACCGTCACACTCATCCCCTGACCCGTGTTCATGCTCCAAGGTAAGGCCATTGGAGGAAGAACCGGTCAGCCACACCGACAGCCTGGCTGCCTGACTACAGAGAGCAAGAGCAGACTGGACTTTCTGGACCCCTTTGACAATCCAATATGGAGTCACTGTCAGCCATGACAGTTATGTCAAGTGCTATGTCAAGACCGAGGAAATGGGGTATAATGGGAATGCCCTTACGAGGGGCCCAGAATGCCCACAACCACAAGACTGGGCACTGGATAAAACTGCATCTGGACAGCGCGATGAGAGGGGCCTCCAGCCCTTGTGGACCATAAGAACTCAGAAATCCGACCCCCCAGGGCTCGAGCTTGGTTATGCCACTGGTCTCGCTCAGAGCCCTGCCGGACTTCCACTCCGCTGGACACAGGCTGCTGCTGCAGCCCTGGTTTGAGACCAACGCCCACTTCTCCACCTGCAGACATCACCGGTGACCCGGACTTCTCACCGACAGATCTGAGTGTGCCAACACCTCCTCTTCACAGCCCATCGGCCTTGAGGAATTCCCATTCACAAATGCATTGAGCGCCATTCCTCACCCAGGCCCCTCCAAGTAACCAGAGGCAAGAATTAGGATCTCTGATTAATAACAGCACCACTCTGTGGCCGACAACCTGGCCTGCCCAGGACCAGCCCAGAATCAGCAGCTGAACTAGGCAGGTGACCCTGACCTTCTGCAGACAGCTCTGCGTCACTCAGCACCCAACTCTGGCCAGTACCCATCTCCCCGGCCAGACACCAGGCGCTCACGCAGCGGAAGCAGCCTCCAAACGCATCTCTGCCAAACAGGCATTTATTGAGCACGTGCCATGTGCTTGTCCCAGACCCTGGACAGGCAGCGCTGAGTAAATCCAAGTGCCCTGCCCTTGAGGGGCTCGCCATCCGGGCCACAAACCAGAAACTGAGTTTTGCCCTGCAAACTGCACACGTAATAAAACTTAAAATCGCACAATAAAATAATGCCACAGATGTTATTCATTCCCCATTGGCCAAAGACTTCAATGAATCTACTATTGAAGAGACAGTCTTTGATTCATAATTTGGCATGCAGCAGGCCCATGATCAGGCTCCAGTATTAGCTGATGCTGCCCAGAGGCAGCATGATTTAAACCACCTATGACCCCACCGAGGACTAAAATTTTCCAGATAAGAACTTGGCCAAATCAAATGAAGGGGTGGCCACATCCTTGGCTGATCGCAAGCAGAGTTCGGCGTCTGTCATCCTCCTGACCCCCAGTGCCCATCTCTGCATAACAGATTAGCCCCGATCCAGGGACAGAAAAGGTAAAGAATGGGATTCTGACATGGAAAAGGACCTAGGCATCTCTTCTGTGGAACAAAACCAGGAGAATTGGATTTACAGCTCAACAGGAGGGATTTCACATTTACATACAAAGAAAACCTCCTAACGGGAACATGTGAGATGAGCTACCCAAAGAGGAAGCCAAGGTTTCTGCTGTGGAGTTACATTTTCACTTAGTCCCATCATAGTCTACGTTCTAAGAGTTTTCACACTGGGAAACCTGCCAGCCTCCGGGACTCCTGGAAGGTCTTTGTTCTCACGTGGCTTCACCCCTGCGGTCCCCAGGTGGCAGGTGCTGCTATCTTATCAGGACTCTAGCCCCCCACACACACCTGCTATCTATCACAGTGCTGTCTGTTTTTCAAAGAATTTATGATTATGACATGGGCTGAATTGTGTACTCCCCGCCTCAAATTCATATGTTGAATCCTAACCCTGTATTTGGAGATTGGGCATTTTAAGAGGTGATTAAATTAAATGAGGCCATTAGGAGGGGGCCTTCATCCAATCTGATGGCTGTTCTTATGAAATGAGGAAATTTGGACACCCAAAGCGACACCGAGGATGTGTGCTCTCAAGGACAGACCGCGTGAGGACACAGAATGAAACTAGGCATCTCCAAGGCCAGGAGAGACCCCAGGAGAAGTCAAAGCTACTGACACCTTGATCCTGGACTGCCAGCTTCCAAACTGTGAGAACATAAATTTCTGTTATTTAAGTCCCCCAGTCCACAGTATTTTGTTATGGCAGCCCTAGCAAACTAATACAGATTATACACATACTTTACGCTTACATGCTTATTACCTCTCTTTCACACAAGAATACGCTCTTCACTAAGGCGAGCCCTTGCGCATCTTGTTCACCATTGTATCTGTCTCTAGCACCTCGACCTGTGCCTGGAAAACCACAGGTGCTGAATGAATTAAGCAATTACAGTCCTATCTTTAAGACAACGAGGTCAAGATAGTCTCTGCCAGCAAAAGGAGGCCTTCTAGAATTTGAACTGAAGCCACTGTTTCAGAGTCGATTTCCTCCTGGTTTCAAATAAAACACTGGAAGAACATGAGGTGTTAAGAGTCAAGGCACTAAAGCAAACTCTTGGGGCCTTACACCAGGTGCTGACACCAATGTCTGCGTTTCAGGACAAATCCCAGCTGTGAATGAAGATGCATGGAATTAAGAATCCTCTTTTCGTTTGACGGGGTTATCATCTAGTAACCACTCCTCATGACAATAACAAAGCATGTTTTCCAAGTTTCATAAAAAATATGCATACATGTTGGTTACTAACTGTTCATTTCTCATACATTCTTCTTATTTTTTTATTTAAAAACAAAATGTGATTTCTTTCTGGAGCACTGTAAGCAATTCTATGCATTCTTTTTTAAGTCTGCTTTATATCAGATGCTGCAAATGGTTTCAGCCAGCAATTTCCTCCAGTATCATTTTTATCATAATGTATGACAAGTACGGTATCATGTATTACGGCAAAGTGCTCTTTGGCAACCGGGCCTATGCAGGCTTCTGCAGAGGGAGAGCAAATGCTTTCACAGTGCATAAAATCAATACTGAATTAGAACATGATTGTCTGTGATTCCCGATTCCCAGGGTTTCTACAACACGTGGTTACTCAGAAAGGTCACACACACGCGCACACACACGCACACACATTTCTATTAAAGAAGGCATACAAAATCAATTACTTAAGAAAAAGCAAGAAAATTACCTGTTATAAAACTAATATATAATTTTTAAAAAGGCTTATCAGGAAGATGATGAAAATGAAATGGTCATTTAAAATACAAAATATGAGGTTCAAATGCAAGGCACAGTACATCTGTCAGTAAAGGTTTATCCGTCTTTGAGAATGTTTACATCTGTGTCTTCAGGGTAGACAACCTCTGAAACAAACGTGTCCTATTTTGCACACTACCTAGGTGTACTACCTTCTTGACTACCTTGCTGTCAATGTCTTCCGAAGTTTGGTCCTAGCCTCCTGCTCGTCTCTCCTAATTGCTGTCCTCTCGTGGATTCTCTCTACTTCGACTCTCACTCTACAGCGTGGTTCTTAAATCCTTGTCCCTCTCTGCCGTTTCCTTCCCAGCTTCATTCCCTCATCTCCAATCACCCACAGACATCTCCATCACGACACCTCGAGTTCACATTAAATCCAACCTTGTTGAAGAAGATGTCACCTTTCTTCCACAAGAAGATGTTGTTTTGCTCCTCCCTTCTTCTGCATACAAAAGAGCTCTGAATGCTGCCTACACCCATCAGCTCAGGTCTGAGAAGCTGAACAGTCATTGGTTTCAACATACTCACCTTCCTCTCAACAACACAAGATTGATGTATTTTAAAACACGGTTCATGCAAATAAAACACAGTTCCTCTCCCTATTGCCTTGGGAGAGTCACCAGCACCCTCTAAAATCACTGCATTCTTTTTGCGTTATTTTTCACCATTGATTAAATATATTCAAGGAACACACAGAAGTATCAATACTTCTCTCAACAAGTAAAACATCATGATCGGACAACATCAACATTCAAATGATAAAACAAACAGGTAGACAAATATGGAGCAGAGATGGAAGGCAGGCTAGCCAATGTATCACCAAATGGCCCTTGGTTTTAAAGAGAGAAAGACTAGATGCAGCATCAGCCGATGAAAGCCGCCGCTCGGTGGGTCCCGTTTGTTTGCGCCGTCCACGGATAACAGCGGCAAATGTCCTCATCAGGCCAGGACTGCCATCTCAGCCCTCACATTTGTTTACCGACAGCACAACAGAACCCCCAGACGTAGACACAGACAGGTCCCCACACCAGAACACGACAGAACGGTGAGAAATGAACGACACTGGCCGCAGTCCGGTCCACCAGGCGCACAGCAGACTGACCAACACTGTGTGGCATGTGCATTAGTTTAGCGATGGGGACTGGATGAAGGTTTGTGAGCACATGAGCGTGACAGAAGCACAACCCTCTTGCGAGATGGTGCTTCAGTGAAGACATGAACCGAAGGAGCAAGTAGTACCTGTGACGGTTTCATTAAATGGTCCTGGACCCTTAATGGGAAAACCATCAATCTTGATCCATTCACCTCCTAAATTAGGAAAACGCAACCTGATAGTTAGAAACAAGGACTAGAGGATTTCCACATTTCAGAGCATCCCTAACGCATCTTTACGTGGTCTTTTGGACAAGATTGAAAAGGATCACCTCAGGCCATTTTAGTGACTCAGCACCCAAACTGTATGGGCAGCTCATCTGTTTCCTCTTTTGCACTTGGCTTACTCTAGTGAGTACCCCAAATTTAGGACCAAAGGCTAACAATCTGCATTAAATGACTTTAAAAGAAGGGATAAATCTCTCCTAGTTTGCAGTCTTTGAGCTTGCTCTACAGATCTAATTCATTTTTTTCAGTAACTCTTTCATGATTCTAAACTTGTATTGACCCGAAGAAGCAGGGATGGGTGTTTCTCCCAATCTAAGTAACAAAACATACAGCCTCTGATTCCAGGTGAGACTTACCAGGCAGACTTTCAGCTCTGTAAACGGGCCGGCTCACTCCACTGTGGTTTTCTGCAGTTACGAGCACAAAGTGTACCACCCCCGGCTCTGAAACAGATGGTTTATATCAAGCCACCGTTTCAAATCTCCAAGAACGACAGTTAGATTCGCGGTCTTCCTCATACCAGTTACAACCAAATATAAACATCTGAATTAAGCTACACATCTCACTATAGCTTTCTTTCTTAAAAAAAAAAAAAAAATCAGAATACTAACATTCCTCTCATGCATCTGAAATACACCTGACCAAAGAACACACCATTTATTTGGTACAAAGTGGGAAACAAACCTGGATTCATGAGCAACCAACAAAAAAAGCTTTGACGCTTTTTAATGTGAAATCAATGTAGGAAATAGGAAGGCTCTGTCCGCTGAATAGATGTTTTAACCTACAGTGTCCCTAACTACAGACAATATCTCCCCATGGAAGCTGCAAATGGAAATCTTCAGAAACAATTCGAAAATGTCAGTGGAACTCATACAACTCAGCACATGGGAAATCTTCATGCAATAAATAAAGCTTCATGAAATGTTCTCCTTTCCCAATAAAACGTTCCCATGACTATGCCTGCATGTGGCCTTTGACTATTTCAACAAACAGCTAGAAAAATATTTCCTGGAACCTTGGAAATGCTAATCTTGAAAGAACTGGGCTTCGCTTTCTGACTCGACTCTAGGGGCCCAGGTCAAAGGGCAGTGGTGTCCTTGGCTGCGCCCCTGAAGTTGCTGGGATGAGCAAGGAATCCAAGTCTCCCTCCTGGTTCTGACCTGAGTAGACCCTGAACTTGCCGCTTTGAAAAGCAAAACACTGTTGGTGATGGTTTTCCTCAAAGTGAATGATCGTCTTAGGAAAGGTAAGTGAAGGTGCCAGTCCCTTGCAGAGATGATAGTTGGCAGGCATTTGAGGGAACGGACGTTGGGAGACGTTAGAGTTAGTTCTATCAAAGCACTAATGGAAGGTACACTCCTCGGAGTGAGGGGTGTTCCTCTAACACACCCCAGTTCTCCGGCCAGAGGCCAGGAACACAGCCACCTGCTGTGCTCAAGACTGGCATGACTTCTGTCTGACCGTCGCAGGCCTGGTGGCACTTAGGGTTTGGCACGACCTGCCGACCTGCCCGGGAAATGCTTCAGGTTCGGACAGAATATAAAAGTTTGCTTTGCCAGGAGCTTTCTCTCTTCCTTCTGCACTTATTTGTATTTCGAAGAAATGTAATCCACGTGTCTCTGATTCCCGTGGGGTTAACTCATCAGAGCTGCTGGGGAGACACTGCTCTCGGGTGAGATCTAAGTCTCTGTTTGCCTTTCTTCTCTGCACCAATCCCAGCAACCCAAGCCCTGAGCAAGCAAATGTGACCCTGCTCGTGCGCTTGGTCCAACAGGACCTCTATGTGACCCTGCGGCTGGCTCTGTGGGGCCGTGGGGATGTGGAAGAGATTCAGAGAAATGTGTTTAGCTGGAACCGTAAGGAAGGGAAGCTGACCCCCTTTATCTCCGTCCTGTGCACCTCTGCCTGATCCCCAGAAAGCCTGACATTCTAACTCAGAGACCGCGAGGGACCGTGTGGCCGAGTGTGGGAACCGAGGAGCACTGTTGACCCTGATGCACTGAAGGAAGGGAGCGGATGCTACACGACCCGGGGAGAACTGGACGCCACACACACCGACTCTGTGACTTCCTCATGGCTCGTCGTGAGGTCGGACCATGAGGAGACTGAACCGTAAATGGGTTCACTAGGATCCTAGGTCAAAAGAGCAGAAGACAGAGGACCCACAGGAGGCAACCCAAAGCCCAAGTTCAAAACCATCCACACCTGCACTTAGGCAGCAATGTATTGGGGCAAAATTTACAATACTCCAAACTTCCAGAATGAAATTGAGTGGGGGAAACAGTATGTCCGTGATGGGATGTGGCTGAGCAGACACACCTTTACAGGGACACATCACCTGAGTCATCCCCACTTATCAAATGGTTCATTGATGAGAAATCTCGAGATTTGACTACAGAGTCGTTCAGTAGTCAAGTGTCTATGAGACAAAAAAAAAAGCACATCAAGGGAAACCAGAAACTGTTTCCGACGTTAATTTGGAGGGAGTCCGGGAGCACTGGAGTTCAAGTGCGGGCCGGGAAAGCCCACTGGCAGCCTGAAGGCTGTTAAGCAATAGACTCGTGACCTTGGCTTCCCCTTCCCAAGCAACCACATGAACCTGGACGAGTAGTCATCCTAGGAATGGGACCGAGAACGTAGGTGCACAGTTAGTTCGGACGGGGAACAAGACCGGAGCGTCACTTACCCACATCCTCAATAAGGAAGGATTGTGTCTCCGCATTCACCTTGATGTATTTAAGACTTTTCAGTGACTTCCCATAGGCAATGTTGTAATGCTCCACGGGTCTACTGGTAGCATCTTTGGGTGGGTCCCACGTGACTTTCAGGCCCATTTTAGTGGACAGCAGTTTCACGTGCCTTGGCTTCAGTGGGTGGTCAGCTATGCAAAAGCGCAACTATCAACTTATGGGAATGGCAGACGGGGAAAGCGAATTTCTTCCAGTGTTCTCGGATATTGTTAGCAAAAGAGCAAATGGCTTTTAATCTGTCTGGTCATGAGGACTTTAAGCACAGGCATGTTTGGACATCATTACAGTATGACAGCAAAGCAAACATACCAAACCCACGAGATTAAGTATTTTGGATGACTGTGGGTGGTACGTTTAAACCCGCAGTGAAACCAATTGAAATAAACTCTAGCCCTTCTCTGGCTTGATTATGTTGCCTTGCTGGTGCAAGAATATAGAATTAGTAATTTGACATATTTTCTAGAGGCGCCTACAGATTAAATAAGTTCTTAGTACTTTGCATGGTACGGTGACACCGTCTTTATACCACCTCTGAGAAGAGTAACATAAAACTCTCGTGATCAGGGAGACCATCCATCGTATCCAAAATGAAATAGTGGGAGCATCTGTTTCCACAAAGACAACAAGCCAGAATCCTCAACACCTTAAAAGGTAGGTAAACCTCTGGTTTTATCTGCAGGTAGGTAATTTGAATGTGTCCCTGTTTTGTCACAGAAAAAGAAAAGCAAGTTATTAAGAAACACACTTACACTTTTATCTTCAGTTACGAGGTTCTTAAAAAGTATTCTTGATTTTCAAAAATAACCCAAAGGAAACATAACATGTAACTGATGTTGCAATGTCACACAACATAAATATGGGCTAAATAGTCACACCACGGTCAGATTGGGGGCAAACTGGCATCTGAAACTGATTAGTCAATGATGCAAGGCATTCTTGGGGGTGGGGAGAGAGTAAAAATAACCCAGAACCCTTTAAACTTACTAACATTAAGAAAAATGATTTTGGACACTCATGAAAGAAGGGAAGGAAGGGAGAGGGTTTCGTGATGACACATAGATTGGTTAGTATGTGTTTTTAACACTGATGAAACTCCTGCATAGATAGGCATGGCTGATTCTAATATACATCACTCACTCTTCCCCAAACTGCCCTAAACAACAAATAGAAAAGGACGGAACTCCCGTGACCCTGCCAGGAAACCTCGAGGAATAAAAAATTTTTTTAATTTTTTTTAAAGGCACGAAAAGGATGAATTCAAAGCATCAGGGAAAGAAAGTCCACTTGGGCGACAAAAGCGCAACATTGGGCTATGGGGATGGATAGAAACCCACCAAGTGGTCCCTCCCCAGTTTCAGAGGTGAGGTTCCTCTAAGCCAGCGGCTCTCAACCTGTGGGTCGCGACCCCTTTGGGGGTCGAACGACCCTGTCACAGGGGTCACCTAAGATCATCGGAAAACAAAATTACAGTTAAGAAGTTGCAACGAAAATAATTTTATGGTCGGGGGTCACCACAGCATGAGGAGCTGTATTAAAGGAAGGTCGAGAACCACTGTAAGCGGCGATGGGAGAGGTCACAGACAAGGACACCTACTGCCCGCCAGGACATGGTTAAGGAGACGATGAAGACAGCACGCAGTGAATTCTGGGCGTGTCAAATTAGCAATCACGGCTCCACTGCGATTGCTCTCACTGGCCCTTCCTTGCTAGGAGCAACGTCAGGATTTTCTTTGCCAGGGGACTGGGGTTCCCCTTCCTCAGTTCCCTTCGTTTCTCCCAAGGCTTCACTACACAAGTCTCCCCTCCTTCTCTGCCATCTGTCGACTAATTTTTCCAGTTCCAACCCCTAGTTCCCGAACCAGCAGAAATCGTTCCCGGAATCCGCTGTTCCACGCCAACCCGAAGGCCGCGGAAACGGCAAATCTCGGAAAACACGGAGGAAACACGGCCGGGCGGTTCTCCCGAGGAAGGAAAACAAACGAATCTGTGAACAACGCTGCGCTTCAGGGCTCAGTGCCAACCCTCCTAAGAGAAGCTCAACCCTGGACACACCCTCTGCAGCGAGGGACCTGCGGAACCCCAACACCCTCACGTTTTCCCGTGGACACCTGGGGTTCACTCTACTGGACGGCCTGGGCCTGAAAACCACGCACTCTCATTACTGACACCTGAACAGAAGAACATTTTATAGATACACTCAGTGTCCTCCCCTGCGGTGCTTTGCATCTATCCTTGGACATGACAGAGTAATTTCTAACTCACATGAGAATCCTTATTCAAGCGGGTGCATCAGCCCAGCGTAAGGAGAGACGCAGAACCTTCCAGGAGCTGCAGCGAGATGGACAAAGAAAAGGGCAGGGAGCCAATACGGTCGGGTTGCCAGACCTAGAGACCATCCGTCCATTCTGCTCACCGTCAGATCTCCACCTGAGTCCTCGTTCTCCTCCTGCCCGTGACCAAGCACCGGCCAGCAGTGTCTCCATTCAGCACTGCCTGCACCCGCATTTGTACATCGAGGGGGGCTTACTGAGTGTCTACCACCCGCACCCACTTACCCTTCCCTGCAGGAGGTGCTCACAACAACCTGGGAGGTGTTGCTGACTCCCTCCACCCTGCAGCTGAGGCAGCGGGGCCTGGAGCAGGAGGCTAGGGGGACTGCCCAGAGCCACGTGGCTGCATCCGGGGAGCTAGAGGCCAAGGCTGCTGTACCCGGTCAAAGCCCAGTCTGCCCAAGGTGCATCAGGGGAACCAGAGGCCAAGGCTGCTGTACCTGGTCAAAGCCCAGTCTGCCCAAGGTGCATCAGGGGAGCCAGAGGCCAAGGCTGCTGTACCCGGTCAAAGCCCAGTCTGCCCAAGGTGCATCAGGGGAGCCAGAGGCCAAGGCTGCTGTACCCGGTCAAAGCCCAGTCTGCCCAAGGTGCATCAGGGGAGCCAGAGGCCAAGGCTGCTGTACCCGGTCAAAGCCCAGTCTGCCCAAGGTGCATCCGGGGAGCCAGAGGCCAAGGCTGCTGTACCCCGTCAAAGCCCAGTCTGCCCAAGCTCTCAGACCTTCCGGCTCTGTCGCTGCTCCTGAAGGACCAATGACCACAGTCACTGCCAATGAATTAATCAGGAAGCCTCTGCTCTCCCAGCGAGCTGTGGAGTCTCCGTGGCTGTGTGAACCGGTTCCTATACCATCTACCCCACCTTCCCACACCTCTTTCCTCTCTGGGCTGCCCCACCCACAGTCACCTCCCCTGTGCCGGTGTCCTCATCACATCCCCCCCCCCCCGGCAGAAACGGAGTAAGTGACTCGTGCTCCCAGGGATATCTGCACCCACACAACAAAGCCTTAGGAATGACTTCCCAACAGTAGTGTGTTAGGCCTCACAGAGTTGCCTAACGAAGGTGGATTTTGAACACAAAGGCTTTGGAGGTCCCTGACACCACACACACCTTCAGGGCAACCTTAGTGCCAATCTCCTAGTGAAACCAGTTCTGGATGTAAGATCCTCTAAAGGCTTGAGGACAACATACCCTCACCCCCTCCTCTCACCCGGACCCCCAACACACACACACATTGGGCCAGGTAAAAAGATGCTACAGTGACTTGTGTAGGAGAGATTTTCATTCCCTGGGTTCCCATTAGCTTTGGTATTTAAGACTGATGTAGTGATTGATGCTAGTTCCGAGGGAACGTCCTCCAGGTCTTGCTCAGAGAGGACTGGACGAGAAGAGGAAGTCCAGCCCACACAGACCCCCCAGTGCCTCCGCTCTCAGTGAATTCGTCAAACCACCATCCATCTAAGGAACAGCGATCCGGGCAGGCGCGGATCAATGTGCATGAACTCGGGTTCCGAAAGCTTATTCTTGGGGCCAGAAACATGACAATGTGTTCTATTCCCTATCACATTGTGGGTCTCATGACCCCATCCCTGAAATGGAAGTAAAAGCATAAGGAGCGTGGAGTTGGTTTCGAGGTACGCAGGCCGCATGCTGCGTCCTGTGTTGCAGGATCCACATCCTGGTAGCTAGAGATGAGCTATGGCGACCTGGCTCCTTACTCGTGTTCAAGTGCTCTCAGAAACGTGCAACCGAACATCCTCTCGCCAGACAAACGAAGCCCGTGACCTTTTGTAATAGTGTTCAGCCTTCTCATCTTTTCTAATGGGTACATTCTTCAAAGCTCCTGTGAACTGGCTCTCTAAAGAGAAAAAGGACGACCCCAAAGTCAATACAACAGGAACGCAATGGCCCAGTGCAGGGAACATTGGAGCGTTCTTCAAAGCGCGTGCATGACAGGGGAAGAGTGTGGCAAGCTGTGTTTCCACCTCCACGGGATGGAAAAGCAGGAAATGAGCTGCAGCTGCAGCCGGAGGGATTCTAGGTAAAGAATTTCCTGTCCGTGTCCTTCCCTATCTCTCCCCACTCAAGGCTGTCCTTGAACGGAGACAGACGCCAAGGTGCTCCGGACAGAAGGAAACCGCTGTCTGCTAGGACTCGAGCATTTCATTCCACAACAGAGCCATTTCTCTACTTCACACAAGTGACCTTTATCTGGAGTCAACAATATGTTGCCAGGTACGGAGTGGCAAAATGATATTCTGGTGACCTTTCAGACACCTGGTAACTGCCAGGCTAGACAGCTCCATGCCAAGGCTCCCATGTGACCCCTACTGGTCTGTTCGGGAACGGGACAGGAGGGCACTGTCGCACCCGGAGTTTTGGAGTTGACCTAGCTCCAGCCTCCGGCTCTCACCCAAGCAGTGTGGTTCCAGGATGAAAGTATGGGCGTGTTTCTGCTCTAAGCTGGTGACCAAGACTGCAGGGGCTCTGCAGTGCCCGACCTCGGAGGGTCTTCAGCTTCGGCAGAGGGGCTTCGAGGGATCCTCCGGGGCTGACAATGCCCCCAGAAGCCTGAGTCCTGAGCTAGGTCTCCAGGGCCAGACTGATCTGACCGATGTCTTCATGGCCCACTTGTCACAGTTGACAGGGGCACATGCCCACCTGGCCCTCCCTCATCTTCCCAGTCCGGCGTCTCTCTTGGCACCCAGTATGCCCACATATCTGGTCCTCACTTAAAATGCTGAAGGATTCAAGAAAAACAGGAGGATTTAGAGTAATGTGATCAACCCAGGGTCTCC